GCCTGTCGTCGTTGTCGTCTTCGTCGTCGTTGTAGTCCTTGTTGTCGTTTTCACATTTTCATCTTCTTCTCAAGAATCACTAGGCCAGTTTCCACCAAACTTGCTACAAAGTATCCTTGGGTAAAGGGAATTCAAGTTTGTTTAAACGAAGGGCCACACCCTTTTCCAAGGGGAGATAATTATGAATTAGAGAAAAATTCATGGCATTTTAAAAACAATCTTCTTCTCAAGAACCACTGGGCTAGGAAAAATGAAACTCATGTGGAATCATCCTCAGGTAGTGTAGATTCAAATCTATTCAAATCATGTCCCCTGGGGGTAGAGTGGGGCCAAAATGGCCGATCAAATTTATGGGAAAAATCTTTTAAATTCTTCTTCTGAAGACTCAGTAGGGCAGGAAAGATGAAACTCATGTGGAATCATCCCCAGGTAGTGTAGATTCAAGTTTTTTTTTCAAATCATGACCCCCGGGGGTGGGTGGGTCCAAATGGCCGATAAAAATTTTACATAGGAAAGTATAGGGAAACCTTTTAAATTTTTTTTTTCAGGTACTTCAAAGTCATGCTTAGTGATATTTATAGGGAATTATCCTCAGGTAGTGTAAATTCTAGTTTGTTCATGTCATGACCCCTTGGGGTTAGAATTCAAGCCTCCCCATCCCAACGACAGTAATCTTTCACTTCTGATCTTATATGTGCTTTTTCCTAGTCAATTGTTAGGTGAGCGATGAGACCCCTGGGCTTGTTGTTTTATTTTCTGTGTCTGTGATGTAAGCTTGCTAATATATTCCTTAAGATCATATGCAGCATATCTAATTTATTGTTAATTTTTATAATAATATGTACACCACCAGATGCAGTTAAATAAAAAACTGTATACATTACAAAGATATGAACGAATATCGAACAACAAAATCCTTGACTGTACAAAAAAAAAATACTTTTAGCTGGTTTTTTCCGAAATATTTGTTTTAGAGTATATCATCATAAGAATTAGATCATTAACTTAGTGAAACTCTTCATTGCACGAAATAGGAAGTAATGTTCAAAACATCGTTACCCAGTGCGAATGATCGCAACCAATACCTATCTCAAGAAACGACACTCATATATATACAGTGTACTAGTAGTATCAATCTGCTCTTCTCTTTACGTAAATATGAATATTAAAATGCATTTTTTATTTTCTTTTCATTTAAAATAATTTATCTCCCTTAATTAAAAAAAATTGTTTTAATTATTTTAAATGTTTATTAATTTCATATACTTTTAACTCCATGGCACCTGATCACACTTCTGATGTTTTGGATGTCCGTGTTTGCATCGTTTTGAATAAAGAAGAGCAAAAATTGACAACTTAAAAACTAATTTTCCTGATATTTTCCAGAGGAAATTAAGAAACTACAGCAAGATATCCTTCCAAATGTTAAGGGTACGTACAAATCTTCATAACATACATAACTGTAGATTTAACAATAAAAACGTTAAAAGTTAATGAGTTTTCTGTTATTTCAGATGTTTGATAATTTGAATCCGTTAAATATTGACATCTGATATTTTAAGTATAACTCTGTTGACATTTACAATTTTAATATTTAATATCTAAGCACTTTGTTAATGATACTTTGCATGTACCAGTTGCAAACTGTAGTTAATAAAGAATAAAAAGAAAACTAAAAACTATATTTTTTCAGATAAGATTAAGAAACTACAACATGTCATTCCTCCAAATGTTAAGGGTATGTACAAATCTACAAAAAAATCATGTGTGACTGTAAAATTTACTATGAACAAAAAATTAGATTTATTTTTACGTTATTCTGTTGTTTCAAATATTTGAAAAATTGATTCATGAAAAATATTCACATAAAATGTTTTACATCTAGCAGTTTGACATCCATACATGTCCAAAAACGAATTTGATGTCGATATCGACGATATCGACAATTTCATATCTACATCGTATCGATATCGATCGTGATGAGCATTAATTATTTGAATACCTGATGCAAAATTTGAGACGTTTTTTACGTCGATGTCGTCGACAATATCATGACGATATCGTATCGATATCGATCCTATCTGCAGAATTTATTTTCACGTTGTGGTATGTAACATAATTTTACAAAGTCACAAGTGAAGTCAAAATTGATTCATTATTGGCATGAATATGAAAATAAATTATGATTATGAAACTTTTCGGTTTGTTATTGTTTTAGATTAGATTAAGAGTAAGATGTTGGGTTACTGTGAAAACTCTTAGAAATGTTTTAACAATCATGATTCGATATCGTCGATATCGACGATATCGACAGTAATGTAAACTTATTAAACACAGAAGTGTTGTAAAAATAAAGTTTTTGTATAAGGGTGAAGATTGGTAAAGTAATCTGCTGTTAACAATTATGATTCGATATCGATACGATATCGTCGATATCGACGATATCGATGGCAGGTAAAATCTTCGTAAAAGGAAAGTAATTAACCATAACCACATTCAAAGTAACAGGGAAGGTATTTACCAAGGGTTGGGCAAACATGATTCGATATCGAACGATATTGTCGATATCGACGATATCGACTCTTCAGGGAAAGATTTATAAAGAAAGTTTTAAGTAACAGTTCTTAAAAACAGCATATTAAGGACGGAAACTACAATTCTCGGAACAATCATGATTCGATATTGGCACGATATTGAGGATACTAACACTAAGGAAATAGTCTTAAAACAGGAAGTATTGTTATAAACACACTATAATAGAGAAATATTATAGAAAACTATAAGAAAGTAATGTGTCGATATCGTAACTACATCGTGTCTTGGACATAACTCTTGATATCTGTCAAAATTTTTTATCTCCCATTTCCATTTCAACAACAGCTGGACTCTGTTGGTCAAAACCTAAAAATATTAATGTTTTGAATATTTTAAAAAAATCATCTATTAAAAGAACTCAGTTATATGAAAGTAAGCAAAAAGAGAGATCCGTGTCAATTATGTTTCAGACTTGTAATTCCAGCTGCATAGGGATAAGTTAGTCATATTAAGAGGAATTCAAGTTAAATCAACCCAGATGGAAGCAAGTATTGCCTTCCTTGAACATAAAATTATGTCTACGGCGGACGTAACAGGTCGGCAGGGGATACTCACTCCTCCATGGCACCTGATCCCCCCTCTGATGTTTCGGAGGTCCATGTTCGCTCTGCTCCTTTTGTATTGTTTTATGGACTTTTGATCTTGAATTCTATTCATTATCTTCACATGTTTCATTTTAATCAGCAATAGTTACTTTAATTTATATTTCGACTCCATTTAACTTGAATTAAAATACACCACAAAATCTGACAGATCTTTTTCATATTAATTTGTTTAAATAATAGCCCTTTTGATAATTCGTAAACTCGATTACCTTGTACTTAATTAATAACTGATTCATCCATCAAATCGCAAAATCCTTTTATATTCATAAGTACTTCTGTCGGAATGATATTGAAACAACAGAACAAAGCTTTCTTGTAAAAATTAAATTGAGAAATGGATTACTGCAGTATCTAAATTGAACATGACTATTTTGTTATGCAATCAATCATGAATAACCTCAAAATTAATGTAAAATAAGCAATGGGGCTCTGAAATATGCTATAACTTAGAGGTTAACAAAAGAAACAGTGATCAATTTTATATATTTACATTCAGTGTAATTTTCTTTATGAATTTCATTAGAAATCCACGACGTTCAAATTTCTATAACACAAGCGAAACCTTGTCACCGTGCGTTAGAATACGCAGTAGGAACTACATGCATTTTCAATATTTCGGAACAACAAAATGTATATTGTTTTGAGTCAATTTCATTTAAAAAAAAAACTACCCTTTTAAAATTAATATAAAATCACAACAAATGTGCATTTAAATTTAATTTGTCATTTTTTTCCTCGCAATGTTTATTTGCGTTATTTAACTTTCCAACGTCACAAACGGCTTTCCAACGTCACGAACGGGTATTACGTTTATTAAGCACACCAATACCGAAGGGCGCTAAATTCACATTAAACATGAACAAAATAAACAATAATTTATGATATAGTGAAATTAGAGAATGTAAATATAAGCATTGAATTCATATTTTGGGATATCTTCGATCCTATAACACACCTGGCCGTGCCGACAAATTATCAGATCGCGCTAACGCGCAGTATTCAATTTGTCGGCACGGCCAGGTGTGTTATAGGACCGAAGACATCCCAAAATATGAATTCAATGCTTAAATATGCATTACACAAAAAGAACCATAAATTTGGATAAGAGTTGTCAAAAAATGGTATTTAAAAACTGTATATCAAATGAATTTGAAACTAGATAAGGTAAAATGATACATATTTAAAGTCGTGTACCTCAACAAAAACATTAGCTCTAAAGAGCCACTTTCCAACAACAAAATAATGTTACATAAAATACAACAATCATAAATAATAAACAAAAAACATTTTTTAACATACATAACACCACTACAATATCACTTTTACAACGTGATGCTTTACAATGACATAGTATTCATCACATTATATAAGACCAACAAATGAATAACATAACATGAACATTATATTGCAAATTTAGAGAACAACTCTCTCTCTCTCTCTCTCTCTCTCTCAAAATATTTTTTTTTCAATTTTTTGCATATAAGAGTATTTGTATATTTCCAATAATGGGTGTATGTTGTTGTAATTTGTGTAAAAATACAAAATTTCCAAATGACCATGAATGTACATGGACATTTTCGTCTACTTTGGGGTATCTGTTTGCTTTTTATTTACTTATGTCATTCAAGCTTGATAATATATATTTTAGATCTTCATGAAAAACAATTACTACAATGGAGAGAAGAAGATGAGATTTACAGTGAAACTCACACTTTCCAGGAAATGCTGAACAAAGTCAGGGGACAACCTTATATGACATTTGTTGGAGTCCCGGGGTCCGGAAAATCAGCAACAATTCATCACATAGCCCTGATACTCCAGGAGGAAGGATACGAAGTTATACCTATTATGGACATTAGTGAGATTTACCGTTATTGTGACTCTCGTAATCATCAGGTGTTTGTCATTGATGATGTGGTAGGTGTGTTGGGTCTTCAAAAGCAAAAGTTAGAGACTTTAGTTGACTATGAAAAAATTATTTCAGATCCTATCAAACGTACAAAGGTACTGATGTCATGCAGGGAAGCAGTGTTTAATGAATGTTACAAATCATTTTTCCTGAATGAGGAAAACATAGTCAAAATGTTTAGTTCAGAAAATACATTGAATGACGACGACAAAAAAGCCATTCTTCAGAAGCACGGCTTGGATAAAGATTTATTGTCCCCTTCATTACTGAGAGAAGTATCGGCGATGTTTCCTCTATTGTGTAAACTTTTCTCAAAAGAGGAGAAATTTAGAAACGATGTTGAAAGATTTTTTACCTGTCCAGCTGGATATATTTTAGAGGAATTAGATAAAATGAAAGAACAAAATAGATTACAGTATGCTACGTTGGTCTTATGCCTGTTAAATGACAACAAAATATCAAACAAAATATTAAAAGACACAGGAAATAAAACTTTCTGTGAAATGAAATCAAAAGCATTAGAACTCTGTAAAGTTAAGAGTTATACCGACGCTTTTGAATTTGTTGATGCATTATCAGTAATGGAGGGGACTTACACAAAACTCTGTGGTACTGAGTACACATTTATTCATGACTCCATGTTTGAAATAATTGCTTATCATTTTGGTTCTAAATTCCCAGATCTCATTTTACAATTTATGAGTAGCAGTTATATTGCTAACTCTGTAAAGCTTCAAAAAAATGAAATGCTTAAATTAGAGAATGAACAAAAGCAAGCAAGTGAAAATGACGCAATCAACAGTGAGAGTAAAAATGAAAAGAACATTGCTTGTAAGAAGGAGGGTTTTATTATAAGTGCTGAAAACGGTGATAGAATGGAGTCATTTGATCTCTGCATAAGGATAGGGAAGGATCAGTATTCTATGTTAGCAGAGCGTTTATACAGGGATATAGAAAATATGGAGCTGTATGATGTTTTTATGAATAATATTTTGAAACACTCTAAGGTATGTGAAGCTTTTATTGAGGTGTTAAAGACAAAGCCCTACACAGAGTTAAAGTCTTTATTTCTGTCTGTACAGAAAGATGTGTCTAAGGTAGTGAGTAAAGGAAAGCGTGTGAGGGAGGGGATTGAGAAGAGGGATAAGAGAAGCAGGGAGTGGAGCAGACAGAGGGTACTGGTGAATGCGAAGTATGATAATAAAGAAATAACATACATGTATAGTGTGAGGGTTATCAGTTGTGTAGTTTACTACGGACACAATAAGATTTTAGAATATATTTTAGACCAAACTGATTCGCACAAAGAAACGCAGTTTGAGTTCTTTTTGAATTCTTTTAACCTTACTTTAATTTATTCAACAAAACAAATGGAAAAGAATACTGCAGCAAATAATCAAATAGAAAATTTATGGACATTTACAGACCTGGACATTGATGGATCCATATCTGAACATCAGCGCTTAGTTTTGCTGAGCTGTTACAATGGAGATTTAGAAACTGTCAGAATATGTATTAAATATATGAAGAGAAATACAATTTATATGACATTTCCAGGTATAGATTTTAAATATGTATTGGGTGACAAAGCACTTGAGGCCTCGTGTGAGGGTGGGCATCTGAGTGTAGTGAAGGAGCTGGTAGAGGCAGGGGCTGATGTCAACCCACAGGGTGTTGATTATACACCACTGACTACAGCTTGTAAAGGTGGATATACAAGTATAGTGAAGGAGCTTATAGAAGCCGGAGCTGATATCAATCGATCAGGTGTGTATTGTTTTCATTTTACACCACTGACAGCAGCTTGTAAGGGTGGATATATAGGTATAGTGAAGGAGCTGCTCGGGGCAGGGGCTGATGTCAATCGACAAGGAAAGCATGGAATAGGAAAAGAAACACCATTAACAGTCGCGTGTGAGTGTGGACATTTTAATATAGTAAGAGAGCTGCTAGAGGCAGGGGCTGATATGAATCAAAAAGGAGGGTATGGTACGCCATTGACAGCTGCAGGTAAGGGTGGCCATCTAAATATATTAAGAGAGCTGCTTATGGCAGGGGCTGATGTAAATCTACAAGGAAAGTATGATACACCATTGGTAGCTGCATGTGATGGTGGACATCTAAATATACTAAGAGAGCTGCGTATGGCAGGGGCTGATGTTAATCAACAAGGAAAGTATGATACACCACTGACAGCAGCATGTAAGGGTGGACATATAAATTTAGTGAAGGAACTCATGGAGACAGGAGCTGATGTCAATACACACGGTTATATAGATACGCCTTTAACAGCAGCAATTAAAAGTGGAAATATGATTATAGTGAAGGAGCTGCTTAGGGCAGGGGCCGATGTTAATCCACAAGATAAGTTTGGTACACCACTGATAGCAGCATGTGAAGGTGAGCAGGAGAATTTTGTGAAGGAGTTGCTAGATGCAGGGGCTGATGTTAATCTACATAGTACACATAAAACTCCACTGATAGCAGCATGTTATGGTGGACATATGAGTATCGTGATGCAGCTGTTAAAGGCAGGAGCTGATGTCAATCTTCAGATTAAATCTTGTACATCACTAATAGCAGCATGTTGGGGTGGACATGAAGGCGTAGTGGAAGAGATTGTTAATGCAGGGGCTGATGTCAATTTACGTGGTACATGTAATTATTATAACTCACTGAAAGTGGGTGTAGGAAAGGTGTTCAGAAAGTTATTTGATAAAGAATCTTATTCACCACTAACATTAGTATGTGGTGGTGGATACATGAGTGGAGTTAAAACTCTGCTTAAGGCAGGCGCTGATGTTAATCCTCAGGGTGAATATTTAACACCACTAATAGCAGCAATTAAGGGTGGATATATAAGTATAATAAAGGAGCTGCTAAGTGCAGGAGCTGACGTAAATCTACAAGGTAAGCATAAAACACCACTGATAGCAGCATGTGATAGTAAAAATATGAATATTGTGATGCAGTTGTTGAACAGAGGGGTTGATGTAAATCTACGTGGAAAGGATGATACACCACTGGTAGCAGCGTGTAAATATGGACATGTGGTTGTAGTGAAGGAGTTACTACAGAAAGGGGCTAATGTTAATCTACAATGTAAGCATAAAACACCACTAACAGTAGCATGTGATAGTGGACATATGAATATTGAGTTGGAGTTGATGAACGCAGGGGCTGATGTAAATCTACATAATGGATTTCACACACCATTGACAGCAGCATGTGCGTATGGACATGTAGGTGTAGTAAAGGAGTTACTACAGAAAGGGGCTGATGTCAATCTACACGGAAAGCATAATACACCACTGACCCTTGCATGTAGGAATGGATATATGAGCATTGTGGTGGAGCTGCTTAAGGCAGGGGCTGATGTTAATCTACAAGGAAAGTATAATACACCAATGACCGTAGCATGTAACAGTGGATATACAAGTATTGTGATGGAGCTTATAAAGACAGGGGCTGATGTCAATCTACAAGGAGAGTGTGATACACCACTGACGGCCGCATGTGAAAGGGGGCATAAACGTATTGTAGTAGACCTACTGAAGGCAGGGGCTGATGTCAATCTACGAAGAAGGTATGATTGTAATACACCACTGACGGCCGCATGTAAAAAGAGACATTTGAGTGTTGTGATAGAGCTGCTGAAGGCAGGAGCTGATGTCAATCTACAAGGAAAGTATGATACACCACTCATAACAGCATGTAGGAAAAATTATGTGGTAATAGCCAAAACACTGCTAGATGCAAAAAGTGATGTTAATATGCAGGATAGGTACGGAAATACCCCTCTCTATATAGCTTTTGTAAATATAAATAAAATTTTCATCCCTGTTATACTACAATTATTTTATATCTATGGCGCAGACTCAGCTATCAGTAATAAAGAAGGTATTTCATCATTCTTCATTGCATTAATTAGATACAAAACTGGTTCAGTAAAAGAATTAATTAGAACTGAGAAAGAAAATCAGATAGATAGATTGAAATTACATTCGTTTGAATGTTTGGTAAATATTAAACACAGTGACGTGATGACTGATAGTAAGGATGATGTGGTGGTGACACGGAGACGTGTGTGGCGTATGAAGAGTTGGGGAGATTTATATAAGGAAATCATAAGAAGTGATTGTAAGGGTTTATAGCATCTTGTATATTTGGGTCTGGATGTTAATCAGTGGATACAGGTGTATGATAGTAATGATTCTGATGTAAGACCTCTGTTGTTCACACTGATTGATGAGTGTTATGTTTACGAAAGTTTAGTGAATAGGGTGAGGTTCCTACTGGAGGCGGGGGTGGACGTCAATGTCAGAGTGAAGTACAGAGAGTATGATTCTGTGTTAGACAGAGAGGGTGTGTCTGTTCTAGAGAGGATACGACGACTGGTGAGTGAGTGCTGTAAGGATGAGGGGAAAAGAGATGAAGTGTTAGATTACACGAGAGTGATCAAGGAGGTAAAGAAACATGTAAGACGATATTCTGTGTAGAAAATTTACAAAACTCCTTATACTTCTAGTGTAAAGTCTTAATTACTATTAGCGTACATATAACCCTTTTGTAAAACACAGAAGGGTAATTGTTTTGATAGGATTCAAACGTGTTATTAATACTATATATTATAGGATGAACATTAACGTGTATCGGTTTATAAAACGGAGAATTATTTACTAAGACGTAATTGGGCGAAAATAATATTTTATGTGGATTCATGTTATTTGATTAGACTGGTGAACTTCCGTTTATATTTATCATTCAAGCTATTTACACTAATTTTAATAAATATGTATTTGAGTATTTAGATTTGTGAATGATAGATTTATATTTGTTGTTTATCGTATTTCAATGTACATAATTATTTACATAAGAAAATTTAGTTTGCATGTTGTACATGTTGTTCAATGTTCATCCATTGTTTAACAAATTTTAATAAAATAATCAATATAGTAGAACCATTTGTTCAATTCTACTTGGCACTGGGTGAATATTTTGATGTCACGTGTCTTTCCATTTTTAATATCCCCGAAATCTTTATTTACCGAAAATAAGATGGACTATTCATGATGTCTTGATGCTTGTGTCACTTTTTCCAATCTTTTTTTTTAAATTAAAAATTAATTTTTTTTAATTATTCGTATTTGAAAGTTTAAAATTTTATTTGTTTTTTTGTGTTTTTGTGTTTTTGTTGCTGTTACTGTTATCTGCATAGAATATAAACGAGGGATGTTCAAAATTTCTTACGGACATTGTCAATCTTTGATGTTTAAATTTATCTTTTTTTCAAAATCAAGATAAGTACCTTATCAATGTAGCAAACTTGGCGACATATAAATTTCAAAAACATACCCAAAAAATCGAGTTCCTTGAAAAAGGTGTCCCTAAAGTATTTATTCTGTATGGCCCAATATCCATACATCAAAATTTTTCTTTCATCATACATTTATTAGTATTTCGTTTACAACTAGTCTGGAATCATTTTTATACCAAGTAACATAGTTTCTATCTCTTTCCTTGATAGCACTGAGTCCAATGATTTGATAAGATTTTTACGAATACCTAGAACTGAGTATATCGGCAAAATTATGAGGGGGCGCCCCCAACCCTTTCCCCTTCCCTGGGTCCTACAGCCATGCATAATTTCTAACAATTTTTCTGACACATTTTTTTAAAATTATTTATATTCTGTTAAATTTAATAGTAATGTGCTATGAAGAGATCGAAGCATTTCCTTGATGTCGTTTGAAAAGGATATGGAGATAACGAACAGTATTCAATCTCAGAGTCCATAAAACAATACAAAATAGGAGCAGAGCAAACACGGACCTCCGAAACATCAGAGGTGGGATCAGGTGCGATGGAGGAGTGAGCATCCCCTGCTGACCGGTCACATCCGGTGTGTGCTCCATGTCAAGTTCAGGAAATAAAATAACGGAAAAAATCAGTCATCAATTCAGTTTATAAATACTGACTAACAATTGGTATGAAAAATGTCAGTCAGCATTTGACTCAATAAATTGTATTTGCTGACAATGTCATCATATCGACCATAGAACTTACGAAATGATGACTTTAAACGAGATTGTTGATATTCTTGTTTCATAAACTTGCTTGTCAATAATCTACATCGTTTTAGAAATTGTTCATACGTAGAGCATGTTCTTGCATATTGAATCAACTGAGATATATACTCACCGTATGTAGGTGATAAAGGTATAATGCTGCATAAGTAAGGGAAGTTCACGATAGATTTAAAGTCATCACGTTTATCATATAGCTTAGTTGCTACATAACCATTAACGTCCTTTTCATGTAAAATATAAAAATATGAAACATATGTGTCAGACTTTGTGGTATCTTTTATCTCAAGCTCACCAGGATATACAGTATCTATGTAGGAATGGAAATTACCATTGCTCATTGACAATACGTCGTCGATATGTCGAGTTGAAAGCAACAGCAAGTGTTTTCTTCTTTTCACGCATAATATTTTGCACAAATTCTGCTTTATATGAATTCAAAAAATCGGTCTGCTAATAACAGAGCGCAATTTGTACCCATGAGAATTCCAATAGTTTGTTGGAATACCTTGTCTCCAAAAACCACATAGATATTGTCAATCAGAAATTCAAGCATATCTTAGATGTCAACTTTAGAGTACGTGTGTGTGCAATCAGAATGTTTTTTAAACATAGGTAATAAGAGATTACAGAGCTCACCTCAACAAATGTTGTCTTTAAGTAAGGCAAAGTCAGACAATTCACAATAACATCAGTGAATAAAATATTGTTTTAAAAACACAAAAAGTGTAATGTAAAATTTATGCAATTTTGATTTGGTGCTTTGGAATAGACCTATATAAAAACTTCAAACTAGTTCTTCATCATGAAAACGTAATTTAAATCCAGCATCTGAAGCAAGTTTGAGAGTTTTCATCCCTTGATGCATCATTTGTGCAAATTTGGCTTAAATAAGTCTTATAGTTTCTTGGTAATAGACCTGTACCCATAACTTTTACGAGATCCATTATCTGGAAAATGTATGTCAAATTCAGCATCTGAAGCAAGTCCATTAGTGTGCATACTAGGATATATCATCCATGCAAGTTTGCTCAACATAGAGCTCAAAGTTACTAGGAAATGAACCTGT